CATCGCCTTCCCTCCCTCCCCTGTTCCTTCTCTGCTCCCCTCCCTTCCCCTTTCCCTCCTTCCCTCTCTGCTCCCCTCCTCTTTCTCCCCTTCCCCTTCCTCCTCCCCTTCCCTCTCTGCTCCCTCCCCCTTCCCCTCCCTCCTTCCCACCAGCTCTGAACTTTCTTCTCCCTTCTACTTTCTCTCTCCCTCCACAGCCCTCAGTTTCTTCTCCCCTCTGTGGTCTCTGCCCCTCCTTTGTCCCTGCTTCTCCTGCTTCCTTCCTAGGACCCCGGGGCTGGCAGAGACCTCAGGAGGCACCGAGTCCAGCCCCCTGCCCAAAGCAGGACCCACCCCCACTCAGTCATCCCAGCCAGGCCTTGGTCAAGGGGCTTGGTCACGCTGGGACTTAAACACCTCTAGGGACGGAGACTCCACCCCCTCCCTAGGGACCCCAGCCCAGCGCTTCCCCACCCGCCTCGGGAAATCGTTTTTCCTAATCTCCAACCTGGACCTCCCCCACTGCGAGTGGAGCCCATTGCTCCTTGTTCTGCCACCTGCCCCACTGAGAACAGCCTCTCTCCAGCCTCTTGGGAACTCCCCTTCAGGGAGTTGCAGGCTGCTCCCAAATCCCCCCTCACTCTGCTCTTCTGCAGACTGAACAAGCCCCAATCCCTCAGCCCCTCCTCATAGGCCATGTCTCCAGCCCCTGAATCAATTTTCTCGCCCTCCGCTGGCCCCTCTCCAATGCGCCCACGTCCTTTCTATAGTGGGGGGCCCAGAACTGGACACAACACTCCAGATGTGGCCTCCCCAGCGCCGAATGAAGGGGACTAATGACACCTCTGGATCTGCTGGCCATGCTCCTCCTAATGCCCCCCAATAGGCCATTAGCCTTCTTGGCTGCAAGGGCGCCTGGTTGGCTTCTGTCCAGCTTCTCGTCCACTCCCGTCCCCAGGGCCGTTTCTGTCTTCTCATCCCCTCCCGCCTCAGTTTCCCCCATCCCTGGTTCCTCTCCCCTGCCCGCAGTGACACCTGCAGCCGGGAGGAGCTGCTGGCCGAGGCCCGGGCCATGGACAAGGCGCGTTTCATCTACATCCTGCGGCTCTTCGGCCTCTACGAGGAGGAGGAGGAGGGCTGGGCCGGCGGCCCCCGGCTGGGCATTGTCATGGAGTACATGGAGTGCGGGAGTCTGGCCAGCCTGCTGGAGAGGGTCCGGCCGGTGCCCTGGGCCCTGCGCTTCCGCCTGCTCCACCAGGTGGCGCTGGGCATGAACTACCTCCACGGGCTCCGCCCACCCCTGCTGCACCTGGACCTCAAGCCCAGCAACGTCTTGCTCAACCCGGAGCTGGACGTCCGGGTGAGTGAGCCCCTCCCCTGCCGGCCGGCTGGGTCGGCGCCCCCTAGAGGGGGCCCGTTGCCTGACACCCCCCATTGCTCTGCCCCCCTCCCAGCTGGCGGACTTCGGGTTGTCCAAGTTCAAGCGGGGGACCACCAAGCAGAGGGCTGAGCAGTCGGAGGAGGACGACGACTACGGGGGCACCCTGGAGTACATGCCCCCCGAATCCTTCGTCAGCCTCAACTACCGGCCCACACCCGCCACCGATGTCTACAGGTCAAAGAACCCCGACTCCACCCGCCAGGCACTAGGGGGCACTGTACTGCAGGGAGCAGGGCAGGGAGCCCACTAGGGGGTGCTAGTCACAACCCCTGGGACCCACAGAGGCACTAGGGGGCGCTGTACTGCAGGGAGCTACGGGGGCACCCTGGAGTACATGCCCCCCGAATCCTTCGTCAGCCTCAACTACCGGCCCACACCCGCCACCGATGTCTACAGGTCAAAGAACCCCGACTCCACCCGCCAGGCACTAGGGGGCACTGTACTGCAGGGAGCAGGGCAGGGAGCCCACTAGGGGGTGCTAGTCACAACCCCTGGGACCCACAGAGGCACCAGGGGGCGCTGTACTGCAGGGAGCAGGGCAGGGAGCCCACTAGGGGGTGCTAGTCACAACCCCTGGGCCCCACAGAGGCACTAGGGAGCACTGTACTGCGGGGCAGAGGGCCCACTAGGGGGTGCTAGTCACAATCCCTGTGACCCACAGTGGCACTAGGGGATGCTGTACTACAGGGAGTGGGGCAGGGGGCCCACTAGGGGGTGCTAGTCCTGACCCCTGGAACCCACAGAGGCACTAGGGGGTGCTGTACTACAGGGAGTGAAGTAGGGGGCCCACTAGGGGGTGCTAGTCCTGACCCCTGGGACCCACAGTGGCATGTTGGCATGGGGCCCCTCTCCCGTCCCCAGCTCCCAACCAGCCTCCTCTCTTGCCCCTGCAGTTACGCCATCCTCACCTGGTCTGTGCTAACTGGCGAGCAGCCCTACCCACGTGAGTGTCACCCCGCCCGGGGGGGGACCAGGCTTGGCCTGGGTTGGAGGGGTCACCAGAATCCAAACACACTGGGCCTCTGGTGGACGGGGAATCCCTGTGACCCCAGCAGTATGGGGCCCATGGCTCTCACAGGCCCAGTTCTCCGTCCCTCTGCTTAGAGGCCCGTGAGCTGCGACAGGAACAAACCCAGTGTCCCTACGAGCCCTGATTGTGGGGAGACAGAGAGGCGGGTGGGAGAGGGCAGGCAGCTGGCTAGAGACACAGACCATGGGATGGGGAGTTACATGGAGCAAGGGGGCCTAGGAAGACCTGGGGGGCTGGTTTTATCCCCACCAAATCCCTGCAGACTGGGGCAAAATACTTCAGCCCTCTCTTGCCTCAGTTTCCCCAGCCAGGAAGCAGGATTGCATTGTTTTCGCTTGTGGCTGGGGCGGCCTCTTCCAGGTGCTGTCAAAAAACTGGGTCGGGAAGAGGCCGAAATATCCCAGCTTGGAAGTCCCTTCCCACCGCTGGGAGTTCAAATCCCAGAACCTCTGAAAATAATGAGTAGGGACATCTCAGTGGAGCGAGGCCATTGGGAACATGGCCCGGATCTCAGTAGTGTGTAGGCACTGGAAATCAAATGGGATGGTGGGTAATTTCCTTAAACCCCGGACAAATTCCAATTTCTCTTCCCCTTGCCGGATCTCGGCAGAAAATAATACCCTGGCTGACCACAAGGGGGCGTATCTGTGCATGACTGTGATGTCTCTTACTCACCACAAGGGGGCAGACCCGTGCATGACTGTGATGTCTCTAATTCTCCACAAGGGGGCGTATCCGCACACTACAGTAAGGCCATGTCTACACGCGCACGGCTTCTTACGCGAGTAATATGCAAATGAGGTGAAGCGTGGAATATCGCCGAGCCTCATTTGCATACCTAATGAGCCACCATTTTTTTCAGACTTTTCAGGTGTAACGGCGTTGCGCAAGAGGGTTTTTCTTGCGCAAGGAGGGGCCGTGTAGACTCTCCTTCTTGCGCCAGAGCCTCTTCTGAAAAAAAGGGTGGCTCATTAAGTATGCAAATGAGACTCGGCGATATTCCACGCTTAGCCTCATTTGCATATTACTCGCGCAAGAAGCCACGAGTGTAGACATCGCCTTACTGTATGCGTCTAACTCACCACAAGGGAATAGTGATAGTCACAGCTGTTCAGCTGTCCAAATTGTTCCCTTGGTAATGTCACAATTACTTCAATTTGAATTGTGTTTAGTTTAAAGAAAATGGCATTGTATTTTTCTCCATTCCAAATTTAAAAATTGATTAAACTTATTTTTTAAATGAAATATCCATTCAGTAAATACTAAAATAAGCAATACTTATGAACTATGTACCCCCTCCCCCTCTAAAAAAGAATCCCCTAGCCATCCACATTACAATTCCACTGATGTAACTTACTACAGAAAGTTAACACCCAAACATAATTAAAGGCAGCAGTAAAATTTTACTAATTTTATTTCTGAGGAATAGAAGACAAATGAATAGATACTTTATTTTATATTCCATTTAAAAAACAAAACCAAAAAGACCCTAGATGGTGTAATAGCTGAATTCTGAAAATATTTCTTTGAAGGAAAGAAACAAAGACAAGATGAATCACGTTGACCCAATTTTTCTTGAGTCAGCAGAATAGTCAACAGCCACATTTCCATTACTCAACAGCTCATCTGTGATCTCTGATCATACCTCTAATCTTTCTCGTTATTTCTTCCTTTGGAAAAAATGACTTAGGACAAATTAAGAATTATAATAATGTCAGCTCTAAGACAAATCAGATTTCAGAACAGAAGGGAGATGAGGAGGGGAGGTAAATGTCTGTAAGCTAATGATATTAGAGGTGATAACTAGGGAAGCGATCTTTGTAATGGGTGAGATAATTAATGTCTTTGTTTAGACCATGGTGATAAGTGTGGAATTTAAGCATGAATGACAGTTCAGAGGATTCTCTTTCAAGTCTGGTGTGAAAAGGTCTTTGAAGCAGGATGCAGGTGATTAAGTCGTTGACACAGTGTCCTTTCTGGTTGAAATGGCAAGAAACTGTTTTTTCTTTGTGATCCTGTCTAATATCTGTGTTGTGGGCATGGATCCTTTGGTGAAGTATCTGAGA